GCGCTCGCATGCCATACTGCTCAGTTAAGTTAATTAGGTCCATTAGCAGACACTCAAACACTCGGCCAAAGGTCGTCAGTGTGCAAATTCTGCGGATTGCGGGTGGGGGGGAGGGAGAGCAATGTGGCAGGTGGCACGCTATCTCTCGAAAAGTCGATAACTCTTCACAATGTAGTTTACACATATGCGCTTGAGACATGGCCTCGGAGACGGAGCCGAGTACACAAACAACCCAAGAACCCAGTCTCGCTTGGGACCAGTTCTTGGCGGCAGAGAAGAAGCGCACAGAGAATTTCAGGACCTCCAGAAAGCATCGCAAGACCAGATCTGGAGATAAGCATGTGAAGCCAAGAGAAGATGAGGCCGCAGCCACGGCCACGACCGTGGAAGTGACGCCGAAGAAGGAGGTCCCGAAGACGACTCCTGCGAAGATTTCAGACTTCTTTTTCTATCAGGTCCTCGGCAAAGGCGGTTTTGGAGAGGTACGTCTGTTGCGACATAAGACAACACTAACCTGGCATGCGGCGAAGATACTACTGAAATCTGAGGTGATTAGCAAGGGCCATGTGAGTCATGTGAATAATGAGAGAGCAATTCTGGCACTCTGTGACATGCCCCTGATTGTAAAGTTGAACCACGCCTTTCAGGATGTCGCGCGTCTCTACCTAGTGATGGAGTTTGTGCCGGGCGGTGACCTCTTTATGCTACTTCGTAGTATGCACAAATTCAACGAAGAGGTTGCCAATTTTTTCGGCTCACAGGTCTTCATGGCTCTGGAATACCTGCACGCGCTAAGGATAATTCATCGTGACGTAAAACCAGAGAACATTCTCATTTCTAACAAGGGATACCTCAAGCTGGCAGATTTTGGATTCGCAAAAATCGTTGAGAAACGCACCTATACCTTCTGCGGAACCCCTGAATATCTGGCTCCGGAAATAATTCTTCACCGTGGGTACGGACCCTCCGTCGACTGGTGGGCCTTCGGGATCTTACTGTTTGAAATGGTCATTGGTCGATCACCCTTTTATAGTTCAGATGTCGGAAATATCTACTCCAAGATAGTCAATGCAGACCTGTGCATTCCTCCCTCTGCAAAACTGAGCGAGAGCCTCAAGCATCTGATTGGTAATCTGTTGCAGAAAGAGGTCTCCAAACGGTACGGGTCTCTGCGCGAGGGATCCTTCGAGATCAGGAGGCATGCATGGTTCGCGGATGTGGATTGGTCAGCTCTGTTTCATCAGAAGGTTGTCCCTCCCTATGATTACTTTGTTCCACCCTCCAATCCAGAAGCCAAGGTCTCGGAACAGCACATTCTTTACTTTGCCAACTTCAGCACCTAGCCCCTCTTTTTTTAACTTCGACTGAATTCTCTCTCTCTTCAGTGCAAGCAACCGAGCCATGAGCAGAGACCAATCATGTGATATCTCTTAATTTGGTTCAGCAGCGTTATATGGCACGCCTAAGATCTTACTTTGCATGCTTCTATCTCTATATATTATAGTATTGTTATATTTCTTTTAATATGAAAACCTTTGGACCAAAAGAAGCCCTTTCTTGGTGCTTACACGACAACAAGGCCCAAAAACGGTGTTTAGCGGTTGCGCTTTTGTCGAAATATTGAAGTCGCGACCGTACTCTATGTCATGTGGCCTTGAATCCCAACGAGGTCCAAGCGACCCGATCGAAGACCAGCAAGCCACCCAGATGTTACTTTGCTTCATGTGCATACACAAGGAGAATGGCCCTGACTGGAGTCACATCTTCAAATAATTTATGACAAGGAACGGCTAAACATGATGTTACCAAGGCCTCTGTTTCTATTCCCCACCCTGACAAAATGTGCCTTGGGTTACCGAGATAGGCGATTTGGGCTCACTGCACTGTGTGCAGGATCCTCCGAATCAACTCAAGCTGATCTTCGTTCAGATTACGAATTAGTCACCGGGAAATATTACGGTGATATGCCGAAGAGAGTAAGGCCTGAGTAGGAACGTTGTTATTCGCAAAAATAGTTGGCTTGGTAATTTTCTGGTGACATAGACCGCCAGCCTAAAAGTCTTTTTGGGTTATGCAAAATTTTGAAGACTTATAAGAAAAAATGGTTTACAGAGTAGCCTCTTTTTACGTTCGTCAGGTTAGTATTGTAATTGTGAATAGGGTTCTGATTCCTTATGCGTAACAGTGTAATTTATTATACATAAGTAAACGCTTATTTACTAGTAGTAAGCCTTTTTCTGTACATATTCAGCACTAACTACTCCATCGCACTCCCCACATGGAAATCTTAAGCGTGTTGCGGTCGCTTAGTTTTAGTGATTTCAATTTAGTTTTAGTTTATTTTAGTTTTCAGTTTAAGTAGTTAGATTTTAGTTAAAGTTCAGTTCATTTCTCAGTTTATTTTAGTTTTAGTGGCAGCATACTGTTGCGTTTCGGCTTATCAAGTCCATTAGTAGCTACTGTGAGTTTTAAAAAATAGAAAAAAAATCCAACCTTTCATGGATTTTACTTTAATCTTAGAAATTCGCAGTCCTTTGCACAGTTCACGTTTCCGATTAGTTGTATTTCTCATTTTAATTATCGCGCACTATGCATAAGTTTATTTGAAGAATTATTCCTATAAGCTCTTACTCTTCTATGCATGACTCAGAGTATGCTACCGTTTCCTACGATTAAAGATTCCCGACGGAATCCGAAACGTGAAGAAAAATGAAGCTCTTGTTCCAGTGGTCGCGTCTTCTTCTGTACTCTTTACTTTTTCATTATTTGTTTTTTCCCCTGATATGGACCGTCCATGTCACCCTTTTTACCACCAATCTCGTATTGCACAAGCGTGAGACCTTTTGCTGTTGGGGTATTACTTATAAGGAATTCTTATCGAAAATGACTATCGTGTCATGTCAGACGTTTTCGCTTCACCAGGGCTTGTCTCAGCTACAGTCGGTCGGCTGCAGATTTCTGAGCGTATTTGAGACGGGTGGCCGGCAAGCTTCATTGAACGGTACTCGCAAACCCAGATAAACACTAGCGGTCAGCTTGCAGTTTCATTATCGCAACTAAATGCTGTCAGCAGCTCGGACAGCGTTCGCAAGGGGTGAATATGCAGGCTAGTTTGTTTGCCATATTGAGCAGCAGCGTAAGCGCACTCTTTCGACTGACAATTTGGGGATTCTTATACAAACAAGTCGTGGTGTCTGTATGTTTAAGACGCGATTGGATGGCAGAACAGTTGATCGGTAACATTCATGCAGTACTACATCTTCTCAACTCGGAAACCCTGTATTACAATTCGTTAGAGATCTGACATGCTCTAGAGCTTCGTGTGTACATGGTTCAATGTGCTTATCCCTCGCTGATCCGTGATTTTCCAAAAAAAGTCACGCAATGACCGCGGGCGAGCCCAATTCCTCTGTTTTCTGATTTGGCGCAAAAATGGATAAAAAAAGTTAAAACTGTCTGTCGAGACCGAGGAGATGAATAGATTGACGAAATCCGAGATGATTTCTTCCGTTCTTCAATTTTTTCTCCGTAGGGGAGCAAAGTGCATTGCGGTAAAATCGACGAGTAGAGCCGCCAGAAAATACATTCCGACAGCCGAAGGTCAAACTTCCGCCAATACGAACTGTTTACTATCCTTATTGGTTAATAGGCATCAGCAAATTAAGCAACGAGAGTTCATGTTGGTTGACTTGATTATATTTAGCTAACTAAAACACTTATAAGTGGCTTTAATCAGCTTTCTACTGGTCACTTTTCGCTCAATCTAACACGCATTTACACTCCTTAATTCAGTATTTAACCTTAAACCACGATTTCCGTAAGGCACTTGGACAGGGGTAGTTGATTTTGAGGAAACCTCACAGGACAGCTGTGCCAATTGAAGTAACCCAGTTCGATAGTATCGTATGCTTCCTTATGTATCAAAAAAGGTGCAACAACTACCAGATTAATAGCGGAGGAGTAGAAGACAACTCGATCGCTGGGACACTGTGTTTATTTGCCTGACG